CTATAATATAATATATATAATATAGTATAGTACATATATTTTATATTATAGTTATTATATTACATATTATATATTTTATATATAATTATAGTTTTATATATAGTTATTATATAATATATTTTTCCAAAATTGTGAATTTTTGTGCGCACACGAATTAGAAAGAGACGACAATAATCCGCGATCGATCGCACCGGATCTCGCTGCTACATTTCTCTCCGTGGCGATATTGTCGCGGTCCTCCGCCGGTCTGCGGCCGGCTAAAAAATGTAAACGACCTCGTTCTGACCTAAATGTACCCCGAAAGAATCCGCGACCGCGCGAGAAGTCCTGTTACCTTGGTACCGATATGTTAATTCAAAAGTAATAAGGTATTTAGCGAGGCCTCCTTCTCGATCCGGTCTGGAGAGCCTGGCCGTACGATGACTCGGTTATGCGAGCCACCAGACGAATCTTAAATGGTGAAAGTCTACCTGGAATCGTCGGGCCCAAAAACTTCCTGCCCTGCAAACGATACTACATACGTAGAAGAGAGAAAGAGATCGCGCGCGCGCGCGCGCGGTTCCCCGGGGATATCGATATTCGCCGGTCACGCAACTTTTACAACGCTGGGAGATATTCTTGCGGGGATTGTGCATGGTAAACTGCGATGCAAATGTTAGACAGATATTGCCGCAATGTTTGCAGGATGTTGACGCGAGCCACAAACGCTGGAAACGGTATTAACGTTCGTGCGGAAAGCTTCGGCTAAGGTGCATTGGGTAACGTCGAGTGATCGGCATTATCATTAGCGTTGCATTTTATGCATATATTATTATGTTATGTTGTATGATATTATATTACATTATATTATATCATATTATATTACATTATATGATGTTATATTATATGATATTATATTAATATTGCCATATAAACAACGTATTATATTCTTCTCTGTAATATTTTTCTTTCTATTATATTGTATGATATTATATATTACATTATATGATGTTATATTATATGATATTATATTATATTAATATTGCCAATAATATTGCAAATATTAATACTCTACATTAAAAAAGTATTATACTAAATGGGGTCTAAGATGCCCAGTTACTGAGATATTAGCGAAGAAAACACGTTTTTGTCACCCCTTTCCTTCGTCAGAATTTTTTAAACAACCGTTACTTCGAATCCCGCAGAGAACAATAGGGTAGCGGAGCCCGGTTACTGTGGGGCGACCAGTCGCTGTGCGTTTGCTTCGTTCTCCGGCATAAATAACATTCTATTTATCAAATAAAACCTACTCGATTTTTCTAACCCTTTTATTTCCTTTTTATTTTATTTTTATTATTAATTTAACCCGAGAACAAATCGAAGTCGCAACAATTTGTCGGCTCCACCGCCCCAATAATGCCGTCTAACCCTTTCTCGCGACCCAATCGACAAACAAAAGCGTAAAACGGTCGCGAAAGCGACCGTCGCTGGACGAAGCGTCCGTACACGTCGCGTCAAGTAATGCGTTTTCTCGAATGTTTTGAAACGAAACGGTCCGGGCGCGCATACGAAGCACGCGTCATGGGGTGGTAGTCGGCTGCACATGCGAGCGCGAGCGCAGGGCGAAGCGGTCGCAGGTGCAGTTCTCGTGACGTCAGGGCCCATTGTCCGCGCGGCAGCATCAGCGCGGCGCGGCGCGACGGGGCCTCATGGATCTTGCTCGCGAGGCGACCACTGTGTGTATATACCACCAGTTTTACGAGCCTTTCTTCGTCGGGGAATTCTTTTTCGGTGGCTCGGCCGTTTCGCCTGTGTTCCCAGCGTGTTGTAACGCCGCGCGTTATATACGTAAGAAAACACACGGGTGCCGAGTGCCGAGCAGAGCGAAACTTCTCTCTCGGACCTCGTGTCGCCTCGCCCAGAGACCTCTCGGAGAATTCGCTTTCCGTGACCAAAATTATTTCAGCACAGTTTCAAGGTTTAAGGCACGAGATTTATCGTCGATTTTATTGGAACCGAAGAACATTTACACCGCTGTTCGATAGATCGATTTTTCCGGACAACGCAACGAGCTTTCGAATATATTCATTGAATGAACAAAATAACACGAAGAAAAAAGTAATACTCAGAGAATAGCAAAGTACCATCTATTATTGAACACCGTATTCGTGTTTCACGCGTTCGGTGTCCCTATTTTGGAACGCCCGTTCCAAATCGGGGACACCGGAGGCTAAAGGAACACGAAACACCCGCCGTTCAATAATCTGAGACAACGGACTACTCGAGGTACGCAACATGGAACAGAACGTTCTCGCTCGCGTTCCGAGCAAACGGTTTTCATCTGACCGATTTACAAAGAGCAAACGTAATTAAAATTTCGACACAACGTTCAAGAACGGGCCTGGATCGAGCGACGTTCCAAAATAGGGCGCGTTCGCCTGGTTCGAACGGCGCCTCTTTCTCTCGCGGCCGAGGAAAACCCTTCGTTTCCTGTCCCGGGGACGATCTATCGCGGTCTCCGCCGAATTTCGAGCGTCTGCGGTCGGTCGCTCGGGGGCCGGGTCCGCAACCGGCTGAATTGTTTCCATGTGTTTTGCATATGAGATCGAAAGTGTGTCCGCGACGGGCGCGCGCACACACGGCCGAGCTGCGGGACGGCGTGTGCGCGACGTTTGCGTATGGGTAGCCATGAAATGCAGTCGAACCGGCTGGTAGATGCATGTGTCGCGGCGCGGCCCGACCCGGACCCGGGGGCCCGTGGCCCTGCCTCGCCAGCCCCGGGAGCCCCGGAGACACGATGCTCGCGAATTTTTTTCCGAAAGTCCGTGCTCGTCGCGCCGATTCCGAGCACCGCGAAACGTAAATAAAGGGTTACGCGTCCGCCTCCGCGCTCGCCTCCGATCCACGCCGGACCGCCTGGAATTCCGTCCGGGTATTTACCCGCGTGTCTACGAGGAAAAAGGGCCCCGTTGAATTCGTGCGACGGCGAAGCACGCCGACAAATTGATAGTCCGCGTGCCGCGCGGTTTCTTTTAGCTTCGAGGGAAAACGGCGTCTCGCGAGGGAACGTCTAATCGCGGCCTGCTCTAGGCCCGAACAGTTTTCAGGCCCTCTGACTTTTCCCGCGGATTCCACGCTGACACACTTTCTCCATGGAATTTGGAATTCCTCGGGGATCGCGACGAGCGCAGAGCGCGAAGGAAATTCTGTCCCCGTGGCTCTGTGTACAGGGTGTCCGAAAAATGCCCCGCAATCCGGAAATGGGGGCTTCCCGGGCCAATTAGCAGAACTGGGATTCTGAAACGACGCTCGCGGAAACGACGAAATCTCGTTTCGATGCGGATGATAATTAGCATCGATTAGATCGAATCGGCCAAGGCAATGCATTTGCAACTGAATGCTATTGTTCTCGTCGAAGTCTGCGACGATCCCATTGCTGGTATTCGTGAAAACGCATAGTTCACGGACTGATTTACAAATCGACGATTAGACAGATGTTCTATCGTGTTACGCAACAATGGGCGAACCTCTCGGTCTGCCTCGACGGGGATATTCTAGTCCAGAGGACAATTTTTTAGGCGCCATTTGGGATTCTTTTTGGTTTAAGAACCATAAAGAGATTGAGAAGAGAATGAAAATACTACGAGTCAGAAAAGTGATCGTACATTTACAATAAAGACAGAGCACCGAATACGAAGGGTTGATTAATTAATATCGACGCTGTCGAGAAATGCGAAAGAATATTCCGCGCGGCGTTCCATTACCATTTTTCTTTTCATTCGCTATGGCAACATTCGAGGACGCATTTCAGTTAAATTCCAGACCGAAGGGAAAGCACGAAACGTATCCGAACGCCGTTCATAGCGAGCACTTAAAAGTAATTACTCGACGCGATCGTTTCCGCGGCGGATTCCGCTTTCCACGAATATCTGAACGCGCGATCCTAAAGAACGATCCCTCATTGCGGCGCTAGGTACCACTGCAGGCACTGCTCAGGATACTTGAAGGGATACTTAAGATTCCTCCGTGGATGCATCTACCCACACACATCGGGGCGCGATGCACCGGCCTGATGCATTAGGCTAGCACACGATTCGATCCGTACGGAGGCGCACGTAGGAACACGTCCGTCCGCCTGTGCGCCCGTGCTAACCTTCCCTTCTCGGACACGCCTCGAATCACAATTTCAAATGCCCTAACCGAACGCCCTGGTCCCAGCCAGCCGCACGAATCGCCGCGTGGCGGTGCCACGGATTTCTGAACGACGTTCCAAACCCATTCATAACACCGCTTGGCGACGTCGCATTTCCCGGAATCGACGGTCAACGATCGACGATCGACGCTCTCCTTCGTCCTCGAAACGGAAGAAGATCCGTCGATCTTGGAGTCGTTGGAATCGTCTTGGAAACGGGAATATAATTTCAGGATACTTCGAGACAACTGCGATCGTTCCGAATCGTTTCGTCGAAACGAATTCTTCGAGACCGCGATCCTTTTTTGGACGAACGAACAATTTTTTTTTGGGGGGGGGGGCAATCAATTTTCGTAACGGGCCGCACGAATTTCGGGGCACGGATCGCGAGGTTAAGCCTCCCGAGATAAGCCGGTCTCTGCATTTTGATGCGGCCGGCGATCGAAGCGCGTCTAAAAGCGGAGTATAAGCAGGTTTATCGCCGCGTCGCGCATTCAAATCACCGAGCGCAGTGGCATCGTTCAGGTGGCACCTTTGTTGCGGCGAATATTGCACCGGGAGCAGCGACGAAATCAGCTCGTAGATTAATCTCGGGGAAATTAGTGTTCCACGGGGAATGCGCGTCGAGACGAAAGAGTAGAACTCCCGTCGAAATCGAAAGAGCAGCCTCGATAGTTCGAAATAACGGAGAATCGAGAACGACGTTCGATCGCCCTTATCTTCGTGGCAATCTCCGAGGAACATTTTCTTTCACACCCTGTCGGAGACTCTCTCCGAACAGAGAAGATTAATTGGTTCGCGTGGAGCGAGCGCCGAGAAGAAAACTCACCCTGACCGGCGTTCCTAGATCCCCATGACACTTCTCAACACTAATTGACAAACACAAACCGACGGTTCCTGGGGTCCTGGGCGGCGTTTACGAAGTCTCTGGTATCCCGGTGGGCACGTGTACACTCGCGGGAATCTGAATGCGGCCGATTTTTCGGACGGAAAACTCACGGCGAGGCGAGAGGGGCGCGGGAAAACGCGGACTGACGAGACGTTGAGCGACGAACGCGTTCCGCGCGGCCTTCCCTCACGATGGAAGCAGACATTGGGCCCCCGAGCTGGCCGCTAGGCTCGTCGCAAGGACCCAACCGGCTCCGCGCATGCGTCGCTACCCCCTCCAACGGCGCTCGAGTCGCCCGGTGGGGACAGGAGAGCCGGCAACCCTCTCTTACTCGCTGCGCCTCGCACGGACCTGCTTCTTTTCGTGCCGATGCCTGCGTTCGCTATTCACCTGCGGATTTTCCTGCTCAGGTGGCAGCACCTCGCCTGCCGGCCGACTCTGCCGGTGTTTGCCGCAGTGGCGTAGCGAACACCCGTTTCGAAACGCGAGGGGGCCGGGAGCAATTTTTAATGTAGAAAGTATATTGGATATAGGGAATTATTGCCTCCGGAGATATAGCTATAGGGATATGTAGAAATAGAGAGTGATTGCTCGAAGTCGTTCGTTTGGAATAATAATTGATTCGTTTCAAAGTTATTCTTTCGAGACGAGAATAATATTGACTCTCGTTTGCAATAATAGCGATTTCAAGAAACGAATTATTTCGCTATTTTGTATCGGCGTGCCGAGAGAAATCATTCTCCGAATAGTTGGCAATGAACAGATTTTATTTTAATTTACTTCAAGATGTACTCTTTTGTTAGAATGATATAATTAAATAAATAATATGCAACAAGAAGGTTTTATTTCAAGAAAAAAAATTTCTTCTTAACAGACTTTTTACTGGGTTCAATTAATATTGTTGCAAAATATCGGAGAATCATTTAACATAGACTTAGAGCTGATAAATTAGACCATCGTGTAATTTGCAAGAATAATTTCACAATTACCTCACAAATATTTCCTTTTCTCGTTAAAAAAGAGCAGTCAAATATGAACAATAAAACCGTATTGCTTACTCGATATATTAAACTTTCCTCTGATAAAAATAGTAGAATTTTATAACAATGATGACTGAATTTTTGCTTGTTGTTATTTTCAATATACATTACGCCAGGGCATGCAGTTGAATATCGAGTGTTCGTTCGATTACGATTTAAGATATAAATACAATTATTTATCGGACCAACGTCCTTCGGTCGGGAAGAATAGCATCGAAGATAGGCGGCGTCCGCGATGATTCAGAACATTAAAACAAATAATAGCTGTTAACAAAGTTAGATGCAAATCATCGATCGAGGGTCGTAAATATAAACGAACGCCGGCGATCTCTCGAACAACCGCGATGATTAGAATGACGGCACACCCGGATAACCGGTAAATCCTACCCCGTGAACCTGTTCCTTTTCATTTCATGGACTATTCACCTACGGATATTCTTCTTCGGGTGTCAGCCTCGCCTAATCCACCGTCCCAGGCGCCGCAGTGGCGTAACAACGATGAGCCTCGATCGATTTTCGAGGAACTCGCGCCGTCGAGAAACGCGCGTCGTCGAAACCACGATCGAATATTTCTCGAAATTACGATTATTTAAAGTTAAAATATTACTTAAATAGTAATATTGAATATTACTATATTACTATAATTACTACTTAAGTAATATTATTATATATTAAAAAATATTACTTAAAAAGTAATATTATTATATATTTATGCAAGTTACATAAAATAAAATTGTTTTCTCTTCATACTAATTTATTGTATTATTCCAATATACAGGATGGTCCTAAATATTGTCACCCAAGTACATATCTCCTTCCCTCGTAACAATATAAAAAGTATCCCTCATGCAGATTACACAAAAATTAAATTCCAACGTTTTCTCTTCATATCATTGTATTTTATTGTTCCAATGTACCGGGTGGTCTTCTAATATCCATCTAATATTCGAAAAGAATTCAAATGATTCCAATCTAAAAAATCTAAAAAAAATTATTCTTTATAAACAGACATCCGATTATCTTAACGATTGAATTTCGGATGAAAACATCACCGAGCAATTCCTCGGCGACACTAACGAACCGTTCGCATTATTAAGGATAACCTAAGAAAGCAACGTGATGCAATAAGGACGGCCGAGAGGAAACATATTTGCCACGGTGTACCAGACTTCCAGACAAAGGAAAGGAGGGGGTGGGGGTGGGGAGAAAAAAAACGTGGTTGATCAGATGATTATCTTCATTGCGCCCTCGACCGTGCGGCTGCTTCCTCGATTTTCTATGATACGATGAATCACGCGGAGGATCCGCGCGAGGAGACGTTTTACGTCGCCCCGACGAACCGCGAAGAAAGGAGTAGAAACCGAGAGGAAAAGGGGATAACCTGCATCCACGGACACTTGGATGCACACCGTTGACCCCCGGGTGCGTTAATAATTCACTCCTCTTCCTTTCGTTCCTACGCTTCGCTTTCATGCTCGTTTGTGTTTGAAAAAATAATTACGGTGTCCTGCACCGTATATTTACTGGCTTTTATCTACTGGGTCATCGGCCCGAATCATTTTCGCTAATTTTATCTTCGGCGATCGCCGTTTTTATGCGCGCGCGCGCGCGTACTATCGCGAGGTGCCTGGATCAGATTTATGTTAACAATAAATGGAAAAAGCAATTATACAATTGTGGCAATTATTTGAAATTATTTTTTTAACGTTATTTATTATGTTATGCGATTTATCCGAGTAACAGTTTATTCAATTAAAATGTAATATAATAAATAATGGCAATTATTCAATGTTATTTATTATGCTATGCAATTTATCCGAATAACAGTTTATTCGATCAAAAATTTCCTCTGAATAAGAAATTTCTTATTCAAAAAATAATAACATAATATAATAATATAACAAACATAAACATAATATAATAAAATATAACAAATTTGTTATTCGTATAAGAATTAATTTGGAAATTGACTTGTTGCTTCTAAACAACGTCGTATAAAAAAATTACGTAAAGAAGAAAGCGGTTCGATAATTACTGGCATTATTATTCAAATAATTTTACAATCGCAGTTGTAATAATCTATTCGAACAAAAGATTACGAATCATTCAAATAAACAGAACATAAAAAATTATAAAAATAAGTTACACATGCACCATTCCCGAATTATCTATTTTTGTACACACTCCGAGCGTCAATTAGGTTGAATTTACAGTACACACAAATTACGCTTTATCACGCAACTGATCCCTTGGAGGATGGGGGGGGGGGGTGGAGCTAATATATGCATAATAATACATAATAGTTTCGCACGCAAGATCCCGCGAAGCGCTCGGGAAAGCGTTCGCACGTGTGAAGAGGAACCCCCCGAGGCTGCAGTTCTACGCAGAGAGAGAGAGAGAGAGAGAGAGAGAGAGAGAGAGAGAGAGAGAGAGAGAGAGAGAGAGAGAATAGCATAATTTCCGGACGGCGCGATGCGCACGGGTGAAACAGAGGGGACCCGGGACCCACGGGAAAGGCAGGAGGGGACCCATAGGAAATAATCACAGCGTCGCCGTGACGCGCGCGCGCGGGTTACGCGCGTTCTCTCGCGAGCCGCGAATTCGCGAATTCGCGCTTATTGCCTCGGATCGGTGCAGTCGCGTTCGCCGAGTTTAATTTACGGTCGGCTTATCCGGACGCCGTCCCGGAAGAAGCGTCGCCGACGCCGGGACATCTTAAATCATTCTCTGTCTCTGCCCGCGGAGCTTACGGTTCCGAAGTATGCGAAGGGAATTCTAAACTTCGCAACGCGTTACGGCGACCGTTGCGATTATGCTTTCCGTTGCTCGAATGTGGTGGAGGAGCTTCGTAGACTTCGCAGACGAGCATTTGAAAGCGGGGANATTTATGTTAACAATAAATGGAAAAAGCAATTATACAATTGTGGCAATTATTTGAAATTATTTTTTTAACGTTATTTATTATGTTATGCGATTTATCCGAGTAACAGTTTATTCAATTAAAATGTAATATAATAAATAATGGCAATTATTCAATGTTATTTATTATGCTATGCAATTTATCCGAATAACAGTTTATTCGATCAAAAATTTCCTCTGAATAAGAAATTTCTTATTCAAAAAATAATAACATAATATAATAATATAACAAACATAAACATAATATAATAAAATATAACAAATTTGTTATTCGTATAAGAATTAATTTGGAAATTGACTTGTTGCTTCTAAACAACGTCGTATAAAAAAATTACGTAAAGAAGAAAGCGGTTCGATAATTACTGGCATTATTATTCAAATAATTTTACAATCGCAGTTGTAATAATCTATTCGAACAAAAGATTACGAATCATTCAAATAAACAGAACATAAAAAATTATAAAAATAAGTTACACATGCACCATTCCCGAATTATCTATTTTTGTACACACTCCGAGCGTCAATTAGGTTGAATTTACAGTACACACAAATTACGCTTTATCACGCAACTGATCCCTTGGAGGATGGGGGGGGGGGGTGGAGCTAATATATGCATAATAATACATAATAGTTTCGCACGCAAGATCCCGCGAAGCGCTCGGGAAAGCGTTCGCACGTGTGAAGAGGAACCCCCCGAGGCTGCAGTTCTACGCAGAGAGAGAGAGAGAGAGAGAGAGAGAGAGAGAGAGAGAGAGAGAGAGAGAGAGAGAGAGAGAATAGCATAATTTCCGGACGGCGCGATGCGCACGGGTGAAACAGAGGGGACCCGGGACCCACGGGAAAGGCAGGAGGGGACCCATAGGAAATAATCACAGCGTCGCCGTGACGCGCGCGCGCGGGTTACGCGCGTTCTCTCGCGAGCCGCGAATTCGCGAATTCGCGCTTATTGCCTCGGATCGGTGCAGTCGCGTTCGCCGAGTTTAATTTACGGTCGGCTTATCCGGACGCCGTCCCGGAAGAAGCGTCGCCGACGCCGGGACATCTTAAATCATTCTCTGTCTCTGCCCGCGGAGCTTACGGTTCCGAAGTATGCGAAGGGAATTCTAAACTTCGCAACGCGTTACGGCGACCGTTGCGATTATGCTTTCCGTTGCTCGAATGTGGTGGAGGAGCTTCGTAGACTTCGCAGACGAGCATTTGAAAGCGGGGACCAGACGTTATAAATTATTAATTAATCGAACGATTTCGATGGGAAGAATGATCGACGAGAACGCGTTTATTGTTGAGGTTTTTTTAGGGTATTTAAGGTAAGGATAATATACTCGTAAACTGTAACGAAATTAATGATTAAAAAGTATCGAGCTTTATCGTTTTGATTTTATAAATAACGTTTTATAATATATGGACAATTTTTGTTGGTGCCAGTGAACATTATCGACGAAGAAAATTAAATTTCGATGGCTCGTAATAATTGTCGATGAGAGGAATTTTGTTTCGATCGCTAATAACGGTTCCCAATGAGTACTGGACGTCTTAAAGACGTCCATTTTACGTCCTTTTTAGGTCTGAACGCCTTATTTCAGACGTTCAAAGGACGTCTTTAAGGCGTCCTAAAGACGTCTTTGAGCTATCTGGATTGTCGACGAGGACAATTTATTTACTTATTTCTGCACATTAACAATAAATAATTATTAATAAGGAAAAGATTTCCTCGAAATCGGTGAACGCAAAGGAAAGTTTCAGGCATTTAACAAGTATTTAACAGGCATTTAACGAAATTCAAGTCGTTTTGGACCATTTTTCGAAAAGTAACTCGCACGTATTCTTCGATCGTCGCCCAAAACGTTTAGAAATCGTAAAAGCTCGACGTTTACGAGACGACAGTTCTTAACAGACGACGCAGTCGAATAAAAGTGACTGCGCACAGCTGAATGTGTTCTTAATTCTGTTGTAATCGTTTCGTAACAGCATGATCGCTTTAACATTAACTGCGATAATTTCTCGACTAATTACCAATTGCAACAACGCGAACAGAGCGATTGCGGTTTTTAGCCTGCTGTGCAGGGCCCATTCATTTGCCGCCGACAATTATCATCGACTCTTCTCTTGTTCGTCGGCGGTAACGAAGCTCTTGCCGTTCGTCCGGAAGGTTTGAACGAAGCCGAAAATCCTCCGCGTGTTTGAAATATAATAAATTGCACGCGTTAATCGCAACACGCGGCAGCTGCGCGGTGATTTCTTTCATTCTGCAATTATCGTATCGCGTTGAAAATAACGCGACGATGATTTTAACTTTTTTTTTTAATGTTTCCATTGTTCTGTATTCGACCTTCTCATTTTTATAAATTATTATATTATAAATTTATTATAATATATAATATATATAATATTATTATCTAATAATTATTATATAATAAATATTATATAATAATATATAATATTATTATAAATTATTATATTATTATATTATATAAATTATTATTAATAATTAATTGTCTAAAACGGTCATGTTTCCTATTGTTCGTCAGGTTTTGATAGAGCTCACGAAGGACTCGTTTTTAGGTTAGAATATCCTGCTGGAAATTCTATTATCTAATGAAACGGAGTGCTTGAACCGACGTCGCAGGAAAGACATTGCAGGTGAAAGAATTAGCGTGAGGTTTTTTTCTTTCCAGAATTCCAGTCTTTATGGTTGACTAACAAAGGAAGTCTACGACGCGGATCAGTGCCCCTTGAATAACAGAGGCAGAGGATATACACGGTGGAGGATGACGAGCGTAACCAGACATCTCCAGAATTATTAGTAACAATGAAACGAGAGCTGTAAAGTAGCAATTAATTACTGATTTAGCCTTCATTTCGTCACTGATATAATTAGTTGGTTCGTTTAGTTTCACGTTATCGCGCCGAGGCTTCTAAGCACGTTAAAGACAGTGAAATCTGAGAGATAAACCATCGAGATAAAATCGTTCGTCTCGAAAACAATTCGTAAATGTTGTTCAATTTTGCAACGTTCACAGAAAAATGCTCTCTCTCTTTTCTGTTTAAACAGAAATTAAGTTAGCAATAATTAATTAAGTTTGTGTTCCTTGACAACTTTTCGACAATTTATAATATAATATAATACAATTTATAATAATAATACCTTCTATGCCTGGGCACAACTTTGTTTTGGGTCCTTTTTTCTAGTTTTTTTTCTGTAGACTAAGTATAGATTTTCTAGATTATTTTATAGATATTTATAGATATTTATAGATTCTTTATAGATTTTTAATTATGACAAAATCGAGTAGTTTTGCGATTTAAAATGACAGAAGGATTGGAAGAATTTAAAAAGAATTAAAATGAATTAAAAACTACTGTTTGCGACCTAATAATTCTATTATAATTCTAATAAATAATTCTAATAAGAATTATTTTTAAAAAAAGGAAGAATTTTCTTTATTTTGTCATTTCGCTATTTCTCGGAGTTAACACGGACAGGACAATCTTTATTTTGCATAAAAATTCGCGGTCGAATTATTAACAACTCCACGCTTTCATCGCTTGCGAATGTAAATATAAAATTGCAAATCAGTTTCATAAACAGAATGTATTTCTATTTTTTAATAATAACAACGATCGGACAAGGACAAAACAAAATCTCGCCGGTACACGTCTATTATTTCAAAGCGAAACAATTTGAATGAAAATAGCAATTGTCGGCGCACACCGCGTCTTTCACGCGGATTCTAACAATTATGGTCGCCGGTGTCGATACAAAGCTGGCCGTCGCGTTCGCATGCACGCAACAGGGTTCGTTTCACTTGGAGCACGAAACCGGTAGTATACGAAATGAATCATCGATGCGTGTTCCGTGCGAAAGTGGCAGAAATGCATCGGCTCCTCCGGTGTCTTTGCACATGCACGTGCGCGGGGACCGCGCGCGAGCGGCGACGTCGTCGTCGTCCTAGGCGGCTATTGTTCCGAAGAATTCGCGCACGTGCGTGGGTGTGTCACGTATGCGCGAACGCCTTGGAATTCAATGCGAACGTAGGAGACGCGTGTGTTGCCGTCGATCAGGGAATCGTTCGACGGCCGATCGAGAGTGAAAATTCAGTTCGAGCCGGGAGCACGGTGGAAATCGCGATTGGAAACGCGCGGCGGACGCGACAATTTTGTTAGACGAAAATTGAAAAAACTGATCGTAACTGATCTTAACCTGTCGTAAAATTGTTGCTGATCGTTTATAGGAGTACCATACGACTCGGAAGCACTAAGTTTTCCCTCTAAACAAACTCTTTGTTAGGGTAGCACAGCAATTTCTCCCGGAAATGCCGAATTTCGGGTTGCCGTGAATTTCCCTGTGTTACTGCCACGCCTATGTAATTTATTGCGAGTGATGCGGCACGCGACGCATAATTCCCTGGAAACAACACAAATTGGTCGGTTTGGGCCTCCGAATTGCCCTCGAATCGTGTCACGTGGCCTCCGAATTGCCTTCGAATCGTGGCAAAAAGTTAGAAATAAAAATAAGTAAAGAGAAGAAAATAAGATGCCTGCTTTAATTGTTTACATATATAAATTAATTGATCAATGTCAGACAGCTTCTGGTTTCAAGTTAAATTTATTCGTCTTTGTACAATTCGTTTACAGGAGTTTTTGGTGACTACACCCCTTCGAGACAAGGGTGATTCTTCGCAAAATACAGTGGCGAGGAGAGAGGGGGTGAATATGTATAAACTGACACCCTTTAAAGCGGTACAACTTTTTCAAAACCTTTTTGAAACTGGACAAAATGAACCAAATTGTTTTTAGAATATAGAATGCACCAGTCTACGATACAATGACTAAAATGCATCTTTGGAACAACAACAAAGTATGAATTAATTAATTTTGTTTCATCCGAGCCTGTAACAAAAATTCACAAAATGCATTTTGTAGATTCGGATGACACTGATTTTTCCTGTATTTTCCAGAAGAAGAATCTCTTAGATAATAAAAGATAGACAGAAGATTCTGTCTAAAGATAACATACGAAACCGGGAATTCGCATAAATATTCGCATAAATATCTACCGACTCGGCTCGATTAATTTCCAGCATTCGACTCGGCTCCGAGAAAACCGAGGTCAGTTCTTCGGTTCATGAAACAAACAAAAGAAAAGAAAAGAAACCATAAATTTATAATTCCCTAAGCCTACTATTAAATAAAAAAACGTTATCGTTTATTACGGATACAGCTAGAAAGTGTTTGCGTGTATGTACAATTTTTCCGCTTATCATTGGCGCATGATCGAATCGTACGGGACCGAGCTCGGTGGTCCAGTGTTCTCAGATGGTCGTCGACGTCTCGCGAGTTTCGAAATGGAGGGCGATCTGTCGTAACTGAAACAAATGACACGATGGAAGCTGGTCCAACGGTAAATGAAACAGACGCGAGAACCAATTCTGTAACTGCAGCGTGGACAAATTTTCGTAATTGTTGTTCGTCTTCGAGACGTCTCATTTAAATAACACTCGACCTGCTTACCATACAGAATGCCCCAAAATATCCCACAGTCCTCTCCGAGAAATAAGAGAATCTTGAGATCATTTCAAGCAACTTTTTCCTTTACTAAAATGCGATCCGCGGCTTCGTTCACGAGTTATCAACGAAAAACGCTGACCAATCCGAGTGCGAGCGCGGCGGACGTTCCGCCCTCGCGGCCAGTGCCTCGTCGCGCCGGCCATTCGGCGCAGCGGCGGTGGCAGCGAGGGTGGGGCGCCAGCCGCGCGCGATCTCTCATTAGTCAGCGTTTTTCGCTAATAACTCGCGAACGGAGCCGCGGATCGCATTTCCGCAAAGGAAAAAGTTGCTTCGAATCACCTCAGGAATCTCTCACTCCTCGTAGGTGCCATAATTTTGGGACACTCTGTAAGATAATCAGCTTGAATATACTGAATATACTTGAAGAACGTTCGCTTTGCGGACACGGAGGAACGGACCGACAGGGGCGGCCGAGCTTTCGCCGGCGACCCTGTCCGTGATTTGCACCGGCGGTTGCGTCGATGTCTACCCGGCAGCCATCACGTGGTATTCTCCAGGTACCTCTTCGCCTCGACGGACCCGTAACTGTGGGAATAGCGGCCGCTGTACGACGCCCGGGACCACGCGCCGGCCCTGTTCGAGTAACTGTTGCACGCGATCAGGGAATTCATGCCGCTGGGCCTGTCGATCGGTACGCCCTGGCCCCGTCCGCCGTGCCGCATGCTGCCGCTTCGCGATCGCTCGCTGTCTGTCAGCGGTATCCTCAACTCCTCCGCCGCACCGATCTCCGTGTACTGTTTTCGTCTTTGCGTGCAGCTGCTCAGGAACGTCGCCGCCAACACACCCTGCGAAACGATGCACATTCTCGATTTTAAACGTTCCGAGCTTTTTGGGACTTGTTACGTTACGCGTCGCGGAACGTCTCGTTTTTTCTTCTCGATGTTTGTGCAATGTTTTTTGAACATAAAATAAGCTGAAAATAAGGTAAATTCTCTACAATTGTCCCTCAATTTTTAGGTGGAAGTGGACGATCTGGGAGAGGAGACTCGATTTGTATATTATATTATTTTATGTTATTTTATAGTATTATTATATTATTATTATATTATTAGTATTATATTATTTTATATTATTATTATATTATTAGTATTATATTATTATTATATTATTATTATTATATTATTGTCATACATTATATACCATATTATTATCACTAGAACGACGTCTAGTTCGGGACGTGTAAATTTAAACGAACGGCAGAGCTTTGCAAGAATAATAATAATACACAAACATACTACCACAAGCATAGCATATGATATTATTTAAATAAAAAATCTGCAGAATCACTTTCGACAAGATACGTTCGCAAAGTAAATTTCTCGTCGAAGTTAAATTGAAAAATTCTCGTCAAAGGATAACATGTAATAATAACGATTCGATAACGACTCCTCGAGCTGTGTAATTCCCAAACAGTAAGAGAGAGAAGAATAATCTCACCACTATCAGATGAAGCATCACGATGAACATGCTGGCGTTCCTGAAGCCAATATTGTCCATGAGGATTCCGGCCACGCTGGGCCCGATGAAAGCTCCAAGGGCGAAGGTGCTTGTCCACAGGCCGCTAATGAGACCGTACGTCTCGAGATTGTTCGGAAACCCGTAATCTCTGAACATTATTAACAAGTGTATCAGCGGATCGATTTCGTATCGCGTCGCATTCTTACGAGGAACTAAACGAATTTACGTTTGGCGCATTATCTTTGTTGTAAATTTAACGGCCGATTTTCGCCCTCGATTCTCCGCGTAATGTTGGATGTTCGAGTCTTCGAGCCCAGTCGAGACTTCGATTAGCTCGAATATCTCGAAATCCACGAATTTTATTATCGAACAATTATCGAATTGCCTTCAAAATTTAGGCGCGCGTTCAGTATAGCTGCTTATGGCAACAGCTGGTGCTAGACCCAAAGCAAAATCTCCATTTTTCTACATTTTTGTCAGCTCTTAATATCGAAAAATTAGCAGGAAATCTTATTATAAATCGTAAAAAAATATTATAATAATTTATTCCATTATAATATATTATATTATAATAATATATATATATTATATATTATTATTATTATATTATAAATTATATTATATATATTATTATTATATTATATATATATTATTATTATATATTATAATATTATATAATTAATATATTATAATAATTTATTCCAGATTTAAAAAAGTTACTGTGTTTTACAACAGGGTCCTAATATTAATGGAAGTCATTATTCGAGCTAATACATTGGCTTTCGAGTGTACAAGAAGGCTCGAATACCTAATCGTAGTGTTGCTTGTTCTCTTTTTTTTTTTTAAATAATTTGTTAACTAAGTGCACACTTACATCGACGTTCTCATGGCATCCGTGAAGCTGGCAACCAGTTGCGCAGCCATGCCCAAACCGTGGATGACGAGACCCGTGATTGTTAACCAGATGATTGTTTGGCTCGGTATAAAGGGCGCTGGGCCCACCAAACAGAAACCTACGCACACTAGAATACACCCTGCCGCTGTAGCCACCTAAAAGTTCGGATTGATAAAAAGATAGCACACGCTAATTAGTGGTAATTATTATTATTAATTATAGTGTTAATTTCGCCCTCGCGAATATATAATACTATTGTAACATTAATATTAAGTGTTATTATAATATTAATACTAAGTATTATAATAATATTAATATTAATATTAATATTAAGTATAATAAGAAACAAACGACGGTATAAAATATCCGTTTCCCTCCCCCTTTTTGTCAAAGTGAACTTTAACGACGAATTTGAGTGACATTTCGATAATTACTTTCGGATGGGAATGCTTGTCGCAAAGCCAACCCCACGCCGGAGCTGTAATGGCGTAAGTGCCGCCGTTAAGTACGAACATTAGACCCAAGATTACGGGACTCAATTCGAATTGCCTTAAATGCGGTTCCAGCGTGGCTTGCAGGAATCCTATGCTCATACTGGTCGCAATTATGGACGACGTGGCGACCAATACACCTGGGACCTTGAGAACCTTCGTCACCCCTAAAAACATCAATATTATATTATATTATATTATATTATCATGAGAAGGAGATCCTATTTTCTGCAATCTAGCAGTATTAATAAGACAATGATTTAATTATTTGGTATTAGTAAACTTTAATATTAATATCGTATATATTAGTATAAATATATTAGTATTAATATTATTAAATTAGTATTATATTATATTATCTATATATATAAATAACCTTGACATAACCAAACGATTAACAACCGCGTTAACAACGGAGGTAAAACAATTAACGCGAGAAATCACGATCGCAAGGGCAGCCGGTGGATCTGCAAAAGGGAGCAAAGTACGATTTTTATCGCCGTTCGCGAAGATAGTTCACGATAGATCGAGACCGGTGAAGTATATTATCATTTAATAGATTAAATACATCGTACATGTAAAGAAGCGTAAGTGAATTTCGTCGAACTATACACACATTCGGTCGGTTATCGTAATTACACGCTTTCCAGCGGCTAATGGGCATCGTTACGAGATAACAGTGTACAGAACAATTCCGATCGAAGCTCAATAATTAGCAACATTCGAGACTCACCGCCGGTGGATTGCGTAGCCTCGCTGCTATTTGGATGCACCGGTAAAATGAAAATGGTCATTACGGCGGTCGTGAACAAGGCCGAGCCCAGGACAACGAACGGCGTCGTGTAGCCGCCGACCTATTTTGTCCAAAAATTTCTATCGATTAGCGAAGCGGAATGCGGCGACAAGGAAGAAAGGAAGGGGTGCAAGGGTCGCGACGGTCCCCGAATTTTGCAGGGAAAATCTCGTGCTTCGTAAACGAAGCAGACCGATCGATAATTAAATTAAATAAAAATTGATTTCCGGCCGTTTTGATACCGGAATCGGAACCTGACCTGATCTATTTGTCGGTGTATCATTGGGTTACCTGATAGAGGGCGCCGCCCACCGTGGGCCCGACAATGAGGCCCAGCCCGAAAAATGTCTCGAGGCTCGCGAAGGTTGTGGCCACATTGTCCGGGAACTCTTTCGCGATAATGGCGAAGCTGGCCGTAAGGAAGGCCGCGTTGCCCATCGCCTCGACGATCCTAATTACAAACGAGAGAACTATGAAGGGATAATGGCCGTTGACCTTGTCCAGCAGACCGAAGAAGATCGCGCAAGTGCCCGTCGTCAGTATTCCGCCGTTGAACAGCAACTTCGGCCCGATGCGGTGCAACTGGAACCAACGAGAACAAATAAATTGGACGCGCGGTGGGTATTACTGCGGGCGGCCCGAATACTGTGGTGTTTTATAAGAGCGATAAAATGTAATATTTCATAGCGTGTAATCTTCTATAAATGAGTCTCGTTATTTTTTATATTTTTTTATGTATAAGCAGCTGTGAACGCTGAAAGGCATTTATATTTTGGTAATTAATAACAAATTATTCATTTCAGCGTTATTTTTAGATAAAGTAATTTCTATCTCTCTATTATATATTTATATTTTTTATTATATTATATTATGTATTTCTTTCTCTCTAATCTTCCCTACTAGCCACAGTATTTGGCGCACAGTTCTCTCTATGTGTGTGCATTACTGCGCTGTGCGGCGGCTAATTTTGCAACAATTTTTAATAAGAGATAGTATATACCGTCTGCCTTGAAAAGAAGATTTTACGACGACTATTCGTCACTTTCAAATTATTTTACAACACTTTATTCCAATATACAGGGTGGTCCATTTAAATATCGTCACCCAAAGAATTTAAAAGAAATTGAATTACAGGGCAACCTTGACACGCAGTAATTGGAACGTCCGCAGTATTCGGCTCGCAATAATAGATACATAATCACAGTAATAGACACACAATCGCAGTAATATGTGCACACGTGTGATATCTTCGCATTGCGCTTTTTAATGAAATCTGTGCATTCAGAGATCCAATATTGACCCAATATTTTGAGAAAAGTAAATGTTCCAGTTAAAGAATAATAAAAATAAGAAAGATTTCAGTGCCATCGTGGACAACATTTACGGCACGCGTGTTCGTTGAATAAATTACAGGCTCGTAGCAACAGCGCAGCGACATTATTTTCGTGGCGTAGTAAAATTTTGACATTTAAGGAGAGATTACTGTACTATCGTCTTCCTCGGAGATTCTACAATAATCGTTCAGATTATATTTTGTAAGTGGTTTCTGTTTGTCACAGACATTTATCAAACGGCAGCCCATGGTGTTATTTTATAGTGCTGTTAGTATATTAAATTACGATCGTTCGACCGCGTATATGCGATTGTTCGTTTAGATAAGAGTTTTATGTCGGCGCCGAAAGAGTATAATCATAGTCGTACAGTATTTCGTCAGGGTAGGACGAAAACATTGCTGATAAAGCAACGTCTCGCTCGTCGCCTACGAGAAGGCAAATTATCGACGTTCGAGCGTGGATGAATCGTGCGAGCACATTCTCCAGGCGTTGCTGGCATAATTCGACGTCGTCGTTAGGGTCGATGTTCGTCTGAATTAGTATTTTATTTTATAACTTTCGCATGCCTCGGTTGAACAGTTAAATGCAACTGTGGCGCGTATTAAATAATAGTGTAGAAAGCTATAAAATTCGATCAATTTTGTATCCTACTGTCAATCTTTTTATACAATAGTTTACGTGTACAATAATTTAAATTTTTTAATTTTTTGTTGTTAGTTTGTAACATGTAATGTATCGCTAAATATAATGTAAATGCTTATCGAGAATATTATTTCAAGCGCAAATAAATATTTTCGGTTCTGTGGCAATGTATTTTAGTTATGTAGTAATTTATTATAAATTAATACGCGAGAGATAATTGATAATGTTACACTTACATACTGTCCATACACAGGACTGATAATGAAAACGACCAATTCGAAGATTCCAAAAACCAAACCATACTCCGAGGGAGATGCGCCTTTCTTCTCAGCCTGCAGACAAGAGAAAACAATGTTAAAACCTGTTAAGAAAATTGATGATGATCATTGACATTCTTGATTTTATTCTTCAAGATTTTTTATCATATTTTTGAAGGTATATAATATTTACATATTTCAATGGTTCAATGGTTCAATGGTTCAATATTTCAATGTTTCAATATTCAAATATTCCAATATTCCAATATTCCAACATTTCAATGTTTCAATGCTTCAATGTTTCAATATTTCAATGTTTTAATGTTTCAATGTTTCAATATTTCAATGTTTTAATGTTTCAATGTTCAAATACACACGTAATTCAATTGCCAAAAAATTGAACGAGTAAACGTCGTTTTAAACACACTGGGTCAAAGTGATCCGACGTTATATATCTGGTCGGACGTATATCAGTCGTCGATAATAAACGACGCTAAAAACTTTGACAAAATGAGACGAACTTTGAATCTTACGAGAACAAAATATTTTCGTCAAATTGGTCTCTCGACTTTGCTACAATTGTTACAGAAAACTGACGTAAAATCTATCGAACGTTGCTTTAACTTTGGTAAAAAAAAAAAAGAAGAAAAAAGAACGTTACGCCTCGTCGAACGTCGATCGACGCGATTAAGAAACCGCCAGCAGATATTTTTAGACGAAATTTGTTGTAGCACAAATTTCTTCGAGATTAAGAAATCTCTGTGGTCTGGCGCTTAATCGGATGTTTATGTTCTGTCTCCGCCGATTACGGTTCATTATAAGTAATTATGCGCGGTCTTGTCGGTATTAGACCATCGCATATTGCATTAAGTGTGCGTAACACATTGACGTGATAAAAACTGTCTGAATAAGACGCACACGTGTATCGTAGTTTATTATAATTTAGTTATGTGATAGTAATAGTATTATTAATTTAGTTGTGTGATTTTAATTTTCCTTGGGAACGTAACCGAGAAAAAAGAAATTAATCTTTCGCTTCTAATAAACAAACGACGCTTTTTCATATAAACTGGAAAATTAAAAAATTGTTCAGTTGAAGCTGGAAATAATAAATAACCAGCAATTGACTTCGCCGTATCGAGCAAAGGCCTGCAATGCGAGTTGATTGTTTATAACTTTCGCACAAGAGTAAAATGCGAGAAATGGAAATTTTCAAGTAGAATAATTATTTAAAAATTGTACCAAATAACTTGACGTCATTTGATTATTAGACAAGTTTAAATATATATATAGACAATATAATATAATATAATATATGACAATATAATATATTATGTATGACATAATATATATGACAATATAATATAAATTATATATATATATATAGACAAGTTTACATATATATATTACAAAAATCACAATTGGTTGGAATGATTAAACAAAATTAAAAAATGATGCCTTTTGCTCTTATCAATCTTTAATTGTGAAATCTTTGTAATTACTTCTGTAGTCTTTGAGGATTTCGGCCCCTAAAAAAGGGGGTGGTAACTTCCCCATTGATGGTGCCATTATCTAAAATCATTAATTCATCTAATTAATGTCCAACAAGCCAATAATTCCATTTCAATAAGCCACCGTGTACATATTTTCCATTTTTAGCGAACTTCAATTTGTTAGGAAACGATCGACGCGAGTTGCATCAGGCATCTGAATAAGTATCATGGCGGCTTGATGCAACCGCTGCCAATGTTCGGAAAGCTCGATTATGATCGTTCTGTCATCGTTCTAGTATTAATAATACAATTAATTACACAGAAGAAAAATTTGCATGCAATGTCAACGAAACTATTAACTGTACTTCTTTAATTATTTACTGCTGTTTCATTTTGTATTTCATATATGTAGCTCGCGTAGAAAATTTTGCAAATGTGAACGCTGCACGATAATCCGAGACAACGTTAACGGTGAATCGTTTTCAGTTTCGCCGTCGCCGATTACAGCTAACATTTCAATTTGTTCGAATAAACAGTCCACATTGTTCGTTATCAACGACGATTTCTCGAACGAACGTTGACCTTTACACGATTGGCAATTTAGATAAATATTCCCTTATGCTCTTCCAATGTACGTTACATCTTCTTTTTCACTGGCGTGCGCGAGTGTTCACTTCTTTCGGGAAACTCGTGTCGAGGAGAATATGAAATAGTATAAGCGAGTTATTTGGCTGCGTATTATGGCTGTATATATTATAATATACTATAATATATACTGGATATATTATAAAATATATTATAATATATACTGCATATATTATGAAATATATTATAATATATTATAATATACACTGCATATATTATGAAATATATTGTAATATATTATAATATACACTGCATATATTATAAAATATATTATAATATATACCGCATATATTATAAAATATACTATAATATATGTATATTATAATATATTTGCCACTAGTTGCTAAGACATTATCCAAGTCAATTAGGCAACAACGTCAAATTCTCCCTAATTTCCCTTCGGCTTCTAACAAAATTGTCCACAAAAATGGACAATTTGGGAAGAGGAGACACGATTATTCGAGCCTTGCGTCACGTTTTTACAATCGTGGACAATCGTCGACTATAANAATATATTATAATATATACTGCATATATTATGAAATATATTATAATATATTATAATATACACTGCATATATTATGAAATATATTGTAATATATTATAATATACACTGCATATATTATAAAATATATTATAATATACACTGCATATATTATAAAATATATTATAATATATACCGCATATATTATAAAATATACTATAATATATGTATATTATAATATATTTGCCACTAGTTGCTAAGACATTATCCAAGTCAATTAGGCAACAACGTCAAATTCTCCCTAATTTCCCTTCGGCTTCTAACAAAATTGTCCACAAAAATGGACAATTTGGGAAGAGGAGACACGATTATTCGAGCCTTGCGTCACGTTTTTACAATCGTGGACAATCGTCGACTATAAAAACGAACCACGAGGCTCGAACGAATCGTATTCCGAAGGAAAATTCGGGAGAATTCCTTCCTCGCACGAGCGAAACGATCGAAATCGTGGTCGCGGAGACGACGCTATGTTATCGACTATATTTCACCAGATAAGTGTCCGCTGTATTTGTAAAATCGGTTTTAGCTACGAGAGTTGATTAAGATTGCCACATTGCAACTCTCTGCTCTGTTTTCACAGCATACGACGTCGAACTGTTCGAGATGCTTCGTTAAAATTCATTGCCCGGACAGCAATTTCTCCGCAATTCGCGCACAGATTGCGCGCGAAAATGGACAATTCGGGGAGAGGAGGCACGATTATTCGAGCCTTGCTGCTCGCTTTTATGGTTACCGATTGTCAACAACTATAAACAATAATAATAATATAATGATAATAAGTATATTATCATACGATAATATTATAATATTATAATATAGTAATATAATATATAATATATAATAATATAATAATATAACAATATAATATTAATAGCAATAATATAATCGTATCTGCTCTCCCCAAAACGTCCACTTTGGTGGGCAATCTGAGCGCGAATTAGGGAGAAATTACCGCGATCAGCGATCGGATGAATTTCGACGAACATTCGCAACATAATCGAACGCAATTGCGTCGGCTTTTTGCGACCGATCGGCGCTCGTTGCTTTTTACTCGCGCCGCCGTCTCTTAAAACGCGAAATTCTGCCGAAACGTGTTTACGTTTAGAAAACGATTTCTCAACGGAATGTTACGCACGAAAGTACATACATACATATACGTACGTGCTCGTTATTATATCGCGGTCGAGTATAGTTTGTTTACATATGGACCGTTTAATTATTCAGTCGATAACGGGGCATCCAAGAGACACATAACAAAATAATAAACGTTAAGATTGCGCCTCCGCCATGTATGCATACATGTACATACATGTATATGTATCCAACGAGACTATATTTCGTTGTCACAAGACCCCGCGCCGGGCACCGCACGTACCCGTACTTCTTAATGAACCACGCGAACTGATAACTCGGACTGCAACGTCCATATTTAACTCCCTAGACAGGCCGCGGGCGATAAGCAAACGGTTTAAATGAGAAACTTTTTTCCGCTTGTTTTTACCACTTTCCATTCACGCATTTTTCTCCGCCGCCGTCCAAGCGACCGGTGATCCAGGCTCTGGACGCGTATTTAGGCAGCGTGCGATAATTGCTCGGTAATTAGTTCGCTTATTTTTATTTAATTTATTTTTCACTATATATAAATATACTTATTATTATATACTATATTACTCTATCAAATTCGAAGTCACGTTCGCGCCGTCCCGATGGATCCGCGATCGAGCGATCCGCGAAATCTGTGCGAATAGCCGGCTTCGAGTTTTCTCGCGTCGAGCGCCGGAAATCGGGCCGAAAAATGTCCCCCAAAAAAATCCGAGCGATTCAATTAACGAAACCGAAGAGCGCTGTTCCAATTCCTCCGCGTTCTACGCGTCGCTTTCGCGAATACGAGAAACGTTCGAACGTCCAGCAATCGTCCGGCGATTCGAATGTACCTCGTTTCCGCGGATCGATCGACCTATTATTGGACGGCTGAAACGATTCTACTCGGAGGCGAGATAAACACGCGTGCGGAATAATCGAATCGCGGTGTCGTGCCTACCAAGAGATAAACGGGTAAACACTGCCAGCTCGTGACCTTAGTCGCAATTTAAAGGTATTGTCAAAGTTCACGCAGTCGCCGCCGCCGCCGCCGCCGCAGAAGACAGAACTCGTTAATAATAATAACGGGAGAGAGAGAGATTAAACGAACAAGTTTGCGATCGCAAGGATGAACGTTGGCGACGGAATCTCGCATGTTTGCACTTTCGGAATATGCAGATTTGCCCGCTGAATAGACTATTTGGGAAGGGGAGGCACGATTGTTCGAGCATTGCGGCTCGTTTTCACGATTATCGATTGTCGACGACTATAAATAATAATATTATAGTAATATAGCAATAATATAATATAATATAATATACAATATATAATAATATGATAATAATATAACATACGATATATAAAAATAATAACAATAATAATAATAATAATAATATAATCGTATCTCCTCTTCCGAAATTGTCCATTTTTGTTCACAAATTAAAGGAAAATTGGGGAGAATTGCGCCGAGTTCGAGGCACCGCGGCCGGTTCGCGTAAATTTAAGCGCACCGTGTAAATTTAAGCGTACCATGTAAATTCGAGCGTAGCAGTGCCTTGTAAATTTAAGCGTACCGCTCAAATCCGAGCGCAGCAGTGCCTCGTAAATTTAAGCGTACCGCGCAAATTCTAACGTAACAGCGCCCCGTAAATTTAAGCGTACCGCGTAAATAGGAGCGTACCAATGCCTCGTAAATTGAACCGTGCACCGGCCTGAATCGACTCACCTCCTGGGGGTAGAACGGCGCCTGCAGCGACACGCAAATAGCGTTCGCGAAGTCGGCGAGGCTGATGACGATCAGCGTGAGCCATTGCCTCTTGGTGAATTGAGCCATCATGGTCCCGACGATCGGCCAAGAGCACTAATTGCTCCCGTCACTGGTCTCTCTATAGCAAGCAACCCTCTCTCTGGTATCCAGCCGCCGCCGCGCAGATCCGCCAACGAACAAAGGCTTACGGTCCGGCCTGTGGTGTTGCCCGCCGCCGCGTTACATCCGGATCCGACTGGCGTCGGACCTCTTCTTCTTGTTCGCCTGCTCCTCCCGGCCCACTTTATCACGCACTGCGCCCTATCGTGAAGAACGAACGGCACCGAGAAGCGTGCACACCACCGCGTCCCCCGATACGCCGCGCGGCGACTCTTCTTCGGCTCCGACGCGCGTCTCGGCTCCGTAAGATCTGACATAAGCCGAGTAAAGTCGCCCGGCTCTACGGGCCGAAGGGACACGGCCGCGAAAGAGGGAAAGAGACCGCGCGACCGCCGGGGTCGGAGGTCGGCCAAGATATAGTTCTCTACCACGGTTCTAATTCATTATCGGACAATGTTGCGCGATTCCTCCGACGCGACTCGTCTCGTCTCTCGTTTCGTCGAATTTGGCTACAAACTATAACAGGGGACAACACCTAATTATGTGTACATATGCTTCGACTTCGGCATCGGACGATCGGCGAAGCTTCTCGAAACTCGGCGACGCGATTAACGAGCTAATTGAGCGCGTCGATCGGTTTATTAACCGCGGTTTATCCGGAACACGGTTGAGCGATCGATTTTTGAACTTTCAGCGACGTATTTAACTTGGTTTGCTGGGCTTTTGACACGAGTTTACTCGTCGCGGAAATGTGACGGTATTTTGTGTCGCGACGAGTATACTCGTCGTCGCTTGATTCTTGCGTCAAGGCTTAAATTCAATTATTTCAATTTGTTTTGGCACGACGAGTATACTCGTCCAATTCAATTATTTCAATTTGCCTCTCTGCAAGCGACTGTACATCTTTTTTCTGTAATATATAGCTGCTTCGTTTTTCTTTTCTTTTTTTTGTATATCTGTACCTCTTTTTCTTCCGTTTTTTCCCCTGATAATCTTATGATCTCCGCACCGTTATCTGCCGTGAACTGTTTTTCTATCGCTGGAAAAGTGCTTCTGCTAGATTGAATTATATGTAATATGATACTATATATATTATATGATATATATGATATTATTATTATAATATATATTATATATTTTTATTTATATTATTATTATATTATTATTTATTATAATATATATTATTATTATATATATGATATTATATGATACTATAATGATACTAAATTCGGGGTAGATACGACGAGATGGAAAGTATAACCTATAAATCTCGTGGATGACTTCTGCAAGCATTTTTCAACGTTCTTGATTAAACTGCAATAAATTCCTACACTTTTTTTTTTTTACTCAAGCGTCGAGTGTTCAAAGTTTTAAATAGCTGTCCTATTTATTTTTCGATCATTATACTATCATTATAATATCAATATACCCTAAAGCTCTACATAATGCTTAGAACTTAATCAAATTAAAAAGAACATTTCATTGCCCAGAAAACCATCTTAAAACAATACAAATCATTTCGTCCACTTCTAAACAAGTTATTCTGTAACAAAGGGTGTCCGAATATTAACGCGAGCCGTCGAAATCTCGTTGCCCCACTGTTGATCCGTCATTGTTTGGCCGAATAGTCACAGCTCGGTAAATAAAACCGAGAAGGAAATATTATCTGGAAAAACCCCTAAGCTCGGCGTTTCACAAATTATCTCGGAGCTCAAAGACTCTCGACAGAGTTTTATTGCTTTACTCGTCCCTCCTGCCCCTCTAACAGGGGGCTTTTGTCGACGATGACGTGTCGCGTTTCGAGGGAGCTGGGAGAGAAGATAAGAAGTTCCCTTTGAAATTTGAAATTGTATTTTACAAAGGTTATATTTACAAAGCGAATAGTATGCGTGCACGGAGACAACGATTCTCAAGCGTTTATATTAATCATAAAATACAAATATATGTTTTACATTAATATATTATATTTTGTATTAATATATAATATTATATTATTTATATTAATTACAATTATATGTTTTATATTAATTATAAAATAATAACAATTTTGCGACGGTATCTTTCGGTGTACACGTCGAAACGAAGCGAGACGAGCTTTTTTTGGATCCGCGAGAAATTTCGGAAGCGTAACCGAGAATCGTTGGATCGCGAGGTTATGTTTAGAGAGCGTTAAATAGGGTAACTTAACAACTAATTTCACGACCGAATAATGCGGCGGTAAGTTAATAGTCCGTGTATAGTCAGTATAAGTATAATAAATAATCAATTTTACAGGGTGATCTGAACAACCGATTCACGTTTCTTGTTTATGAAGCATACTATTATAATGTATAATTTATAATGTATAATGTATATATATATATATATATTATAATGTATAATGTACTATTATTATAATACTATTATACTATTAGTATTATAATACTATACTATTATACTATTAGTATTATAATACTATACTATTATACTATCATAATATATATGTATAAATGGTGGCCAGGAGATTAAGCCAGATGTCAAGCTGAAAGAGTGGGGATAGGCAAGTCGCGGCGGTAGTCGATGATTCATAGCGTGCAGTATAATACATAGAGGGCATAACTTCTGTTCCCATACGGCTGCCGCGTCGAGAGACCTGCCCCCCACTCCTCCGGCTTGAAATCTGGCTTAATCAGCCGGCTACCATGGTCGTATGATGCATAATCGATATTAGACGGACGAGAGATCACTGCTCACTAAAGCTAATATTACACTGAGCTACGCTTTCGATTGAAATTCAGAAGCAGTAAAACACGATGAATTAAAGCACGGCGAAGCCACGATTAAACAATTAAGGTATAACGTGAGTATACGGCATACTGGATCAGATAAAAGATTAATTAAAGCGCGAATTAAATTGCACAGAAGAATGCCGGAACAATGGAGTCGCTTCGGAAGCGATCAAAATCGTTTAAGCGGAGACGAAGGAAAGAATAAATCCGAAATTAATTAACCAGGAAAGAATAACTCACGATTGCGTAAATAATCGATCGTAATCGAGGCTCCGTCGTAACGAACTAATTAGACCGCGGATTTTATGCATTTGTAGCGAAATTGGCAGTTATAACGTGACAACCGTACAAAGATTGAAAGCATTTTAAAACGTCAATGTATTGTCTTTTAATCCGTCGAGGTGATTAAAGGAAGAAGAATTAATTTATCGCTCGGCTTTTATTGTGATCAATTCCGAAATAACGTTAATTGAAATATTATCCCTCGAGCAACGTGTTATTTTATTCTACAATTATTGCCACGTCTGTAATCACTTTTGAAATTATTTTCAGTTATTATTATTATTATTTCGAGAAACGTTATTTGGCTACATTTAACAATAGCTTATACTTAATTAATTCTATATTCAATTAATTACGTTGGATTATATTTAATAATCATTTCCGCGCCTGTGATTACTTTCAAAATAACGTTATTTGGACTATTCGTTTACTTTTATTTATTATCAAATATCTACTTATTTCTAATTATTTATTCATTCATTATTATATTATTATCAACGCGTTCAAAGAATCTTCTATCGCAAACTGCCAAGAAATTCGTTTCCCTTCGACTACTTTGCACAAAAATCCACGATCCGCTAACAATGCTAGCAGCGCTGATATAATTGTCAACTAATAACCCTAATCGAAAAGTGCGCTCGCGAGCACCCCGGCACTGGATTAGACGGTCGATAGACGCGAGAAATTCGCGGATTCCGTTAGTCCGTCGAGCTGCGCGCGCGCGCTTTAAGCGACACAGGGTCGCCCGCGATTTCCAAACGCGCGGGGCCCGCCGCAAGGCCCGTCGGGAGAACTGCCGGGAGGGCCGCGCGAAGCCGGCGATCGGCGCCGCGAACGGAGGCGGGGGCAGCGCGGTATTATCCGTCGGGGCGACTCGTGAATTTCTCATATCTTTGGATCGGGCGGCTCGCCGAGGCCCACTTTACGTGTCGCGGAGCCAAACTTTCAGCGGCACTTTGGTCAAGNATACTATTATACTATTAGTATCATAATACTATACTATTATACTATTAGTATCATAATACTATACTATTATACTATTAGTATTATAATACTATACTATTATACTATCATAATATATATGTATAAATGGTGGCCAGGAGATTAAGCCAGATGTCAAGCTGAAAGAGTGGGGATAGGCAAGTCGCGGCGGTAGTCGATGATTCATAGCGTGCAGTATAATACATAGAGGGCATAACTTCTGTTCCCATACGGCTGCCGCGTCGAGAGACCTGCCCCCCACTCCTCCGGCTTGAAATCTGGCTTAATCAGCCGGCTACCATGGTCGTATGATGCATAATCGATATTAGACGGACGAGAGATCACTGCTCACTAAAGCTAATATTACACTGAGCTACGCTTTCGATTGAAATTCAGAAGCAGTAAAACACGATGAATTAAAGCACGGCGAAGCCACGATTAAACAATTAAGGTATAACGTGAGTATACGGCATACTGGATCAGATAAAAGATTAATTAAAGCGCGAATTAAATTGCACAGAAGAATGCCGGAACAATGGAGTCGCTTCGGAAGCGATCAAAATCGTTTAAGCGGAGACGAAGGAAAGAATAAATCCGAAATTAATTAACCAGGAAAGAATAACTCACGATTGCGTAAATAATCGATCGTAATCGAGGCTCCGTCGTAACGAACTAATTAGACCGCGGATTTTATGCATTTGTAGCGAAATTGGCAGTTATAACGTGACAACCGTACAAAGATTGAAAGCATTTTAAAACGTCAATGTATTGTCTTTTAATCCGTCGAGGTGATTAAAGGAAGAAGAATTAATTTATCGCTCGGCTTTTATTGTGATCAATTCCGAAATAACGTTAATTGAAATATTATCCCTCGAGCAACGTGTTATTTTATTCTACAATTATTGCCACGTCTGTAATCACTTTTGAAATTATTTTCAGTTATTATTATTATTATTTCGAGAAACGTTATTTGGCTACATTTAACAATAGCTTATACTTAATTAATTCTATATTCAATTAATTACGTTGGATTATATTTAATAATCATTTCCGCGCCTGTGATTACTTTCAAAATAACGTTATTTGGACTATTCGTTTACTTTTATTTATTATCAAATATCTACTTATTTCTAATTATTTATTCATTCATTATTATATTATTATCAACGCGTTCAAAGAATCTTCTATCGCAAACTGCCAAGAAATTCGTTTCCCTTCGACTACTTTGCACAAAAATCCACGATCCGCTAACAATGCTAGCAGCGCTGATATAATTGTCAACTAATAACCCTAATCGAAAAGTGCGCTCGCGAGCACCCCGGCACTGGATTAGACGGTCGATAGACGCGAGAAATTCGCGGATTCCGTTAGTCCGTCGAGCTGCGCGCGCGCGCTTTAAGCGACACAGGGTCGCCCGCGATTTCCAAACGCGCGGGGCCCGCCGCAAGGCCCGTCGGGAGAACTGCCGGGAGGGCCGCGCGAAGCCGGCGATCGGCGCCGCGAACGGAGGCGGGGGCAGCGCGGTATTATCCGTCGGGGCGACTCGTGAATTTCTCATATCTTTGGATCGGGCGGCTCGCCGAGGCCCACTTTACGTGTCGCGGAGCCAAACTTTCAGCGGCACTTTGGTCAAGGCCTTGCCGAGGAAGTCCTTGAAGTGTTTCGCGATGCTCGCGCTCGCCGCCGGTCTCATTTCTTCGATGATCTCCTTCGCGTTCTGATTGAGAAACTGATTCATCGCCTGGCCGATCACGTTGTCGCCGTTCAGCTGGTCGATCACGCGAAACCGGGCCCGGCCCAGGCTGAAGTCCACCAGCATCCGCGACACCTTCAGGTAACGGACCCCGTCGCGGATCTCCTCGGCTCCTTGCACCCGTGCCACCGCCAGCACGTCGCCTGCGAATCGAAAAGAACGTTTCTTTTTTAACTTGTCGAACGATTATTCGGCACAGAGTATACATTAGAATAGAGAGAATTGGAGCTGTGCGCGTTTTTAAGTGCAATGGAGACATCCCTTATTCGAACGTTTATTTTTATAATATTAATAATATTATAAATATTAGAGAATATAATATTATTATATTCTTATATTAAATAATATTATTATTAATTAAAGAATATAATATTATTATATCCTTATTAATATATAATAATATATAATTAATAATATAATTAATAATAATATTATATTCTCTAATTTTTATTCGAGCCTCGCAGTTAGTTTGTTATAGTTACCGATTGCCAACAATTATGCACAATTTCGGTGACAATTTGGGAGACATTACCGTATTTTATTTTATAATTATTGCCACTGCTGCAATAACACATTTGACATAATCTTATTATTTCTTAAAACCGCGTTAATATCGTGATCTAATTTTTAGACACATTCACAATAATTAACATTTTTTCCAGATAATTACGTCCACCTTGATTGACAATCAAACGTTTGTGATTTCCTGCTCGAAAGCTGACGTAATTACAGACTGCCATGAAATATTGATGAGATAGTCGAGGCTGTCAATCTTCCAACGACGTGAATATTAATTCGCAATGGTTAAATTAAGGATCGGTGCTTTAAATATAGAGCGATCGAATGAGAAAATTCGTTTCGCTGCCAATAACCAGTATCGCTTACATTAATTGCAAGATTCTAGGGAACTTACACGAAAGAAACATCTTTGCAACAAAAATACTTCTCCTACGATTTATGTACTAAAATACTCGCAAGACATGTTCACAAATTTCACACAAATAATTCTAAAACAATTCGTCGAAAGAAACTGCACCCCTGATCGACAAAAGAAGGGTTAATTAAAAAACGGCTTCGAGTGCGAAGGGTTAATTAAAACGGCGTCGGCTTACCGAAAAGCGCCCAAAAGTCGCCGTGGCTCTGGATCGGGAAGAGCAGCACGTTTCCGACCACCTCGTAGCGGCCTTGAAGCTCGATCTTCGGGAACGCCAGATGCAGATCGAGCCTGTACGACGCGACGTCGAGCCGTGTCTTCGTGATGGAATAATTGCCAGCCCCTATGACGGTAATATTGGAGAAGAGGGCTCGGATGCGCACCGCTCCCTGTCCATTTTCCATGCCGAGCTCCGGGATGATCAGCGGCTCGATCGGCGGCAGATCCAGCTCGGGGATACCTGGGGGATGGAACATCGTCGCGATGGATAAACGATTGGTTAAGAGCGTCGTACAGCATGGAATGGTGGTCTCACCTTTCAGCAGGTACGGCTGCAGATGATTCAGGGTCTTCTGGAAGCACGCCTCTATCTTCGGGTCCGATCTACTACACGGTATTATGTACTCGGCTGTGAAAGATAGGAATCTAGTGAATGAACCCGGCCGTAAACATTCGGCAACAATTATTTAGCTCACCGCGGTTATTTAGTTCGCGCGAAGTCACGGACCCGTGATAAATTTGTTATGGATAATAAATATTGTATTATAATATTATTATTATAATATTACTATTCTAATATGATTGTTATAAATAAACTGTTATAATATAATATTTATTATACTAATATATTATGTATATAATATTATATTATATTATATTATATTATGTTAATATATAATAAATATTATATTATAACAGTTTATTTATAATAATAACTGTTAAATATATCCATCGTTGCAATTAAGTAATCGATGTAGTGACAAGTAATGAAATTGCAGATTAAATTTGTGACTAACGATATTGAAAATGGCAGCAACAACTGTTTACTTGTATTAACAAGAACAGGATTTTATAATCGTGGACAATTTATAACTATAAAAATAAACCTCAATCGTATCTCCTCTTCTAAAATTGTCCATCTTTGTGCGCAATCCGAGCGTCAATTAGCGGAGCGTCACTGTATTATGTACTCGGCTAAATCTATCTCTCCTATCGAAAGATATGGATCTAGTGAATGAACCCGGCCGTAAACATTCGGCAACAATAACGCCGCGGTTATTTGGTTCACGCGAAGTCACGCAGCCGTGGCTCTTACCCCGACGAATCGCGAATGCCTTCCTACTTCCTTCAGTTTTACGCAACCGCGGCCTCTCACTTCCGATGTCTTCGGATAACTCGTCCGATTTTCTAAACGCCCGATGGAATTAATTGTTCGCCGAATAATTAGAATCCATAGTTATGTTACCTAACGCCTGGATAACGGATTGCTCGCGGTGTTATTTTTTTCCTGGACTCGTTTCCTTTTACGGATATTCACCGAGCTCGTCGCATCGCGATTTCAGTTCGGAGCCGACAGAATTTTACGAATTCTGCGCGAGAGAGAACGTTCTACTCGAAAATTATGTTGCTTCCGGGAACTGACGGGTTCGCGAGGTCGTTTCAAGCAACTTTTTCCTTTGCAGAAATTTTGTCCGCGGCGTCGTTCGCGAGTTATCGACGAAAAACGAGGACCAATGAGAGGCGAGATCGGCCGACGCGCGGCGGCCGATCGGCGGAACTGGGCGTCGCCCGCTCGTTGGCTCGCCGTCCCGCGCCGCCTAAAGTGGTCGATCAATTTTGCGATAGAATTTTGAACGAGCCTGGCGAAATCTGCGGGAAATTATCTACACGGTGGCAATGAAAAAATCGAACCGTGCACATCGTATTTGGATAAATTCGAATTTCGTTGCAACATCTCGAGTTCGACGACGATTTTCAAGGTTAAAAGCTGTTCGTGCCGCGTTCTCTCAATTTTTCCCTCGTTTCGCAAGGTTTCCGTGAACGAAGGAATACGTCGCTTTGTTTGATTTTTATTGCAAAGTTCGTTGATTTTCGCGAAACTTCGGCGCGACGCGCGCGGCTGCGCTGCCCGGAGACTTCGACGCGTGTGCAGCGACATTTGCGCCACGTGATATGCATTGCCGGGCACGGGCGCAAGCCGAAATTAACCGACAGTGCATGTGCATGTCACTTATCGCGCGCGGAGTAGATGAAGAAACCGTTCTTCGCAATACGTTCGACGGTGTTCCGCAATCGCGTCGGACCAATCGGGCCAGAGAATTGAGGAAAGCAAGCGAACTGGTAAGAACCCGATCGCGTCGGTGCCAAAATTGCTCGCTGTATCCGGTGTTCGACCTCGACCGCTTATTTCTCGCCAAACCGACCGAAGTTTTCCTTCTTTTTTCTTTTCTTTCTTTTTTCACCGAAATCGTGACTGACGTTGCACGAAATGTCGAGAACGTTTTATAGAAAAGACATTGATTTGTGTAGCAGTAATTGGGTCCCGCGAGAAGAAGGAGGGTGATAGGGAGGTTTTGCGTTGCGAAATTGTTCTTTCGAAGGTTATATTTGACGCTCTCTAATTGACGCTCAGATTGCGTAAGGAAATTGATCATTTGGGAAGAGGAGGTACGATTTATAGTTGTTGACAATCGGTAACTGTAAAAATAATCGTGTGTCTTCTTGTTAAATTGTTCGTTTTTGTGGGCAATCTAAAAGTCAATTAGGGAGAATTGACTCTTTTTCTAATACTTTTTCGAATATTTTTATATTCGTACTTAGAATTACAGTAATTATACAGTATAATTACAATATAATTGTCATTCGTAATTCAGATTTCCGTTCTATTAAATTCCGGTGCAATTCGCAATTGCAATTGGAGCACAATTACAAAATACTAAATAATTGAATCACATCAACTAACAACAATTGAATCAAAAATAGCAAATAAAAATATAATAAATTGTTACTGTCAATAACTATAAAAAAGCGAGCCACAAAGCTCGAACAATCGTATCTCCTCCTCCCAAATTGTCCATTCTATATTGCACAATCCGATCATCAATTAGGGTAAACTCACTATATTTATCGCCCTGGGTATAGCCTAATCTACAAAAAGAATGAATTTATAACGCAAAAGCAGCTGCAAAAGCTCTAAAAAGCTATAATGCAGCTGCAAAAGCTATGAAATTTCTCGCGAAAACGAATCGAATAGAAAAATCTGACGACTAGAAAAATGCAGAAAAATCCGCGCCGATTTTGCATATCGTTACTATTCGTGCCACACTATTCCGTTCATCCTAGGAATCTGGACCGTCCGATGCACCGGCGATTACGGTGACGCTTTCACTCGAAACGCTCGTGGATTCGAGGCGAACAGACGAGGAGGAGCGTGTCGTGGGACGAGGATACGCGCCGTAAGACCGGCTCTAAGGCTGCGGTACTTTCTCCGACCGATTGCCGTCGCGATCCTCGACCGTTATGCAATCTCTGACATAACCTTCGCCACGCCATCGAGAGCCGTTACGCCATTCCCGGTACCATTATGTTGTACAGTGACCAACGGCGGCGGAGTCTCGCATAATACGTATAATAGTTCGTGCTTTCGGCCGGCCGTTTTAGCTAAACTAGCCCGGACCGATGGCCGGACGGCTGCCGTTTTGTGCGTAGGCGAGCACGCACCGATCACGGAATTCTGACCACGGCTTCTTCTGTCGAAGTCGAGGCATGACCGTCGAGACGACGACGCGACGACGGGATTGCGTTATCTGGTACGCGGTTGCGTCGCCGCGCCGCGGTGCCTCCGATATTTTGGTATCGCGACACACTGACCCTTTTACGGTTTCACGTAATTCGCCACTCGGAAACGTCGGGATCCGAGCGACGGAAATTGCAGCGGTCGATGCGATTTAAAAGGCCTCCGCCGTTTAAAAGGAACTCCTCGTTTGATAATTAATATAATAGAATTAATAATGTATTATGTTAATGATAGAATTAATAATATATTATGTTAATAGTAGAATTAGTAATATATTATATTAATAGTAGAGTTAATAATATATTATATTAATAATAGAATTAACAATATATTATGTTAATAATAGAATTAATAAAATTCTACTTCTGCTTTCGTCTCAACGATATTTTTTTTCGGAACGCGTCAGGACAGTCCTGTTTCAATGATCTCTATTTAACGCTATTTTTTTTACCGAAGGGGTGTAATAGCTTTTAATGATTTTAGTCGTTTCAATAACTGCGATAATTTTGATCAGTTTAATAATTTTGATAATTTTAAATAATGATTTTAAATTGATCAGTTTTAACGACGATCTTCTGATATGTTCTATATTTTTTATGTAATCGCTTCTATAGATAATAGAATAATGATGATGATAATAATAATAATAATAATAATAATAATATAATACAAAGAATTTTGGTGAAAATAGCGTTAATTTTAAACTCTGTTATGGTTAATGATAGACAAATCGAGCCGACAAACCTATTTAGGTTATGTTTCAAATAATGGACACAATAATTTTCCCTAATTGACGCGTTCAGCTTATTATTATATTATTATTGAATCATTATTATATCATTATTATATTATTGTATTATTATAGTATTATATTATTATTATTATATCATTATTACAGTATCATATTATTATTATATCATTATTATATCTTTATTATATTATTGCTATATTATTATACTATTATATTATTATTATTTACAATTGCTAACAATCATTAACCACAAAAACAATCCGCAAGCTTCAAATAATCGCACCCTCTCTTCCCAAATTGTCCATTTCCGTTTCCCAGCCGAGCGTCAATTAGGGAGAACATCTTTCTTTAATCTCGCTCTATATCTCGTTTTTATCTCGCTCGTATATCATCGGCGCGAAAGATCGTCTAAGAATTGCCTCCGGTTTTCCTTATTACCATACAAAGCGGTCGATTCAGTAACAGAACACCGATACGGTTGACAGAAAAATGAACGCGCGGTCGGATCCGACTTACAAGGCACCGGAGAAGCATTCGTCGAGCGATCGAACGAACGAACGAACGAGCAAGCGAGCGAGAAAATTCAACCTTTCAGCGCGGTCTGCCGCATTGCGAGGAGAAAATCCGGCTGGCGTGGTGCACGTGTTCGAGAGAAAGTATCACGCATCTGAGAAGCACGAAAAAGGATGTCATTCTAACGGCGAGGCAACCCGGCCGACGTAAACAATAGTCGTGGTAGTTCGACTATTAAGTAAATTTTTCGAATTCGGACTCTGATCGATCGGAAAATCGACGCTAATCGATCGTGCGATATACGTTGTTTTAAAAACCGATTTTATTCGCTCTGTTTTTTTATTCTGTGCACAATTCTCTCGACTTTTTAATGTTTTATCGTGTAAATGTGTTTTCCAATGGGGTGACTGCTTTATTTTCAGTTAAAAGAATGAACAAAAACACGAATTTTAAGGCTAGTTAACATCTTTATTTATAATCGAAGCGCTTCGAGTTTCGGCGAATTTTTGTTCACTTTTTCCTTTTAGTTAAAATTGAACGCAAGTACGGACATCATAATAAAAAAATAAATTCAAGAAATATGGCCACGAAATTGGAACTTTTTATATATATTATTATATATATTATATATATTATAAGAATACAAACTTCAACGCTAGTTATTAACGACTTAATTTCTCCATACAATTAAAGCGTACAATTTTTAATATTTTTGGTGCACCGAAGGGTGCCAGAACCGGTCCACCCAAACGAATAAAATGAAAAAAAGTCTGGATCGCTTAAAAGCGCAGCCCGAACGCGGTCATCGCGACGAAAGAAATGCTCGCGACCGTGGGAGAATGTATTGTTGCGTGGTTTTTCGGGGCTTTCCAGGCTCCTTCGGGCGTCTAACGAACAAAGTCGATCGGGGCCGCACCGGGGAACACGCTTCCGCGACATAATCGTTCCCCGCAATTACCCTCCGCGCGCGGAAAGAGAAAGGCAGATACGCTCAATGATCGTAAAAAGAAAATACGCGAGGAATAATCGGCCGCCCGGTGGCCGCCTTCATTGTGCACCTGTTACGTAGCCACGGCGCTGGGTTACAACTTCGCGGCGCATCGTTGCCAGCGAAAAGCGCCGGACAACCTTCTGGGAAACTCTCGGGGTCACGCGAGCGCGAGCGGGCCCCGCCGGATAACATCGGGGCCCGATACCGTTTTCCCGATACGAAAGCGTGCCGATTGCGCAATGCCGTAATTTCTCCGCGATTCGCGCTCAGATTGCGCACGAGAATGGACAATTTCGGGGGAGGAGGCACGATTATTCGAGTCTTGCACCTTGTTGTTGTAATTGTTGATTATTGATGATTGTAAAAACTAGTCGCAATTTATTATATTTTAATACGTATTTTTTATCTTCAATTGTTTGGTATTTTGTAGTTGATGTGAGTCAATTATTTAGTATTTTGTGGTTGATGTGAGTCAATTATTTAGTATTTTGTGGTTGATGTGAGTCAATTATTTAGTAGTTTGTAGTTGACGTGATTCAATTACTTAGTATTTTGTAGTTAACGTGATTCAATTATTTAGTATTTTGTAGTTGAGGTAGTTCAATTATTTAGTATTTTGGAGTTGACGTAATTCAATTATTTAGAATTTTGCAATTGACGTGATTCAATTATTTAGTATTTTGTAGTTGACGTGATTCAATCATTTAGTATTTTGTAGTTCAGCTAATTCAATTATTTAGTATTTTGGAGTTGATGTAATTCAATTATTTAGTATTTTGTAGTTCACGTGATTCAATTATTTAGTATTTTGTAGTTGAGGTAATTCAATTATTTAATATTTTGTAATTGTGATTGCAAATTGCAATTGCAAATCACACTGGTATTTAATAGAATGGAAATCTGAATTAAGAATGACAATTATACTGTAATTATACCGTATCATTACTGAATCATACTTAATTGAATCTTAATTCAATCAGATCAGTGAATTCTCCCTCATTGTCACCTTTTTCACGGGGCTCGTTTTTACAGTCGTTGACAAAAGTTGTCCAAAATAAGGGTTGCATTTTAACATCCACTTTCACATGCAGTATCTATTTTTTATCAGATTATTTATAGCACCGTTTCATAGAAGGGGTTGAAATCGAGGTGTTGTTTCATAATGGGCGCCTCTGCCTTGCAATAATACAATTTGCGTTCCAAATTCACCGAAAATTCGAGCCTCTGAACAAATACATACAGCAATTTTTCCCTAATTCGCGCCGAGATTGCGTCCAAAAATGGACAATTATCTATCAAGAGGACATACGATTATTTATTCCTCAATTTCGAACTATTCTCTTCAATTTAATCTCAATTATTGTTCTCTATATTTTATAATCACCGATTACAAAATATTATTATTATATTATTATTATTATTATTATTATTATTATTATTATTATTATTATTTTATAATCAACAATCATATCCTCCCCTTTCCAAAAATCGTCCACTTTTGTGCTCGATCCGAACACAAATTAGTCAGAAATTACGGTCGAAACGACTGCACCAGAAATCTCGCTCCAAAAGGTCACTCTCCCGACGCTTCCATAGCCGTCGAATTTCACTTTTCGTCTTCTTCTCTCCTCCAACTGTCGCGATCGAACGGAATCAAAGAACGGACGCTTTCCGCCGCGAGATTCTTCGCAGCCGTCATTGACACGGTGACATCGATCTCGGGCCACGTGCTCCCGCCGTACGAATAAATGAGAAATATAATCACGGAAGAGCTTACGAGTCTCGAAGTCCGGCTCGCCGGGCCCGGAACGATCGCTGTCGGGGTCCTTCTGGCTGGACGCCAGCCAGCCTGACAACACCACCAGCCACACACTAACCAATCCCCGACGCATCCTGCAGGACCTCGTATCCCCGAGGTTAAATTCACCGCGCCTCGAATGCTCCGAATATTCCCTCTTTCTTTTCTCTCGAACGCGGCGAACCGATTCGACAATTTCGGTCCCAATCGAGCCGGTCGCAAAATCGTTGCGGTATCCTCTGCACGGTCCCCGGTCCTCTTTTCGCGACGACGACGATCTTCGGACGCACTTTGTTCGTTTACCGGTTTATTTCGAAGCGATTCACCAAGATTTTCCGGGCTCGACACTGTTTTTGATTTCTCGTTTTTTTTTCCTTTTTCTTTTCGTTTTTGTTACATCGGAAAGGGGCCTCTCCTTACGTCGCCGAGACGTGGAATCGACGGGGGGATCTCGTTCGAGGATTTCGGAGAGGGGTTTTAAAGGTGACGGCTAGGCGGATTGGCTCTCGTAAACTAAACACGGGCCCCCTTCATATTCTGTCTTATATGCGAGCGTTCCCCCCTACCCGCGCGCAACTTCTACCCGGGCCTTAAACGCCGCGACTTCGCGGCTCTTTCTATTCTCCTCCCGCGCGGAGGCCCGCGCGTCTTTGAACGCCACGCGGTTCTTCTCGCTTTTCTTCTTGCTGCCGCGGATGCGGATTTCCAAAAACCATTGTACTATTATATATGTGTCAATATATATAATCTATTCTAATCTAATATAATATAATAAATATAATATAAATTATATTATACATATAATATATATTAGATTATATTATATATATTAGATTATATTATATATATTAGATTATGTTATATGATATAATGTACATTGCATATAATTGTATACAACATAATCTATATTATATATAATATACCATAAAGCCATTTAATTCAGCACTGAAAGGGTTGAAGTTCCCATCTCAAAATCGCAAACGTCAAAACAATTTCATCCAAAAATATTCAAACATTTTTGTTATACTTCTTTCAATTAACGTATAATAACTAGTTCCTTTGTTTTCTGCTTTTATAATTGCTAATTCTATAATTAGCAAAGCAAAACAGTCACGCGGTCCTTTCTAGACTAGATTGAAGCGTCGATTATTATCGACAGGCGTTACATACATCACTAAATCATTTTCGTTCGTTTTGAAAAGTCGAGCCCGAAGACACCATTGCCGGCTGATTGATACACACATGGTAATACTAAGTCACGATTTTCTGTTCGTTGCACAGACGGCCGTGAATACGTAATGCGGTATTGTCTTTTTGGATTGGTCCTTGATGATGGGGCCCCGTGCATTGAATACGCGACAAATTACTCGGAAATATTGTGCGGTGTGGAAAGCCGCTTTTTGCAACGATTCATCGACCGAAATGGATACGATTTTTGCAGCGCGATCGCTACGGGATTCTATGCAGATAATTATAATATAATTATATAATTAATATTTCATTATAATATAATTGTATAATTAATATATAATTATAATATGATTGCATAATTAATATATCATTATAATATAATTATATAATTAATATATCATTATAATATAATTGTATAATTAATATATCATTATAATATAATTATATAATTAATATATCATTATAATATAATTGTATAATTAATATATCATTATAATATAATTATATAATTAATATATCATTATAATATAATTGTATAATTAATATATCATTATAATATAATTATATAATTAATATATCATTATAATATAATTGTATAATTAATATATCATTATAATATAATTATATAATTAATATATCATTATAATATAATTGTATAATTAATATATCATTATAATATAATTATATAATTAATATATCATTATAATATAATTGTATAATTAATATATCATTATAATATAATTATATTAAACTATTTTACGAAACGCGTTAGCTTCTTTCGCGAGACCGATAAAGAACCCTGCGACGACTTTCAAATCGCATAATTGAATTCGCATTCGTCGAATGACGAAACAAACGGAGTTTCCGGTATTTTATTTCATTCTCGGTATTTAATTTCAATATGAGCGACGAAGTTTATTGCAGCTGCTGATAATTGTATCCGCGTTTGCTTTTTCATTTATTTCTCGCAGAAATCGATCAAAAGTATTCCGCTGCCTTAGTATGTATATATATGTACAGGGTGAGCCAGTTACGAATGTGTCTCTCTTTTAAAATGAGCCCACATGGGCGGTACCTCGGCAAATGTCTCGATTTCCACCGGTTGTTTGAACACCTTGAGATTCTTGGCCACTTTACCACCGTTTGGAGAAATTTCGGGGAGTTCGTGTCACTCTTGCCCAATTTATTGCTCGTTCTGTCGACACTCGAGGACTCTATGATACTCGTAAGTTCATTTTCTTCGGCTGCTATGGCTTTCTAACTTGCTCGACTTTAATCATTAAGCAACCGAAATGGCGACGATCACGCTGAATATTTTAAACGGGGTTTAAAAGGGGTCTTATTTATATTATAATATATATTTATGTTGTACTATTATAGAATAATATAATATAATAATAATATATTATAATATATATTTATATTGTACTATTATATAATAATATAATATAATAACAATGTACTATAATATATATTTATATTGCACTATTATATAATAATATAATATAATATATTATTATATATTATTTATATTAACTTAACTCTATTAATTAACGTAAAGAATTCAATCAACCCTTAATCGTCGCTCGTGTCACTCAGACGCATTTTTAATTGCCTTAGAAAAGCGTGTCCTGTGCGGTGGTTAATTATAACAGAGAAATAATCTTTAAATATAATCTTTAAATAGAAATAATTAAATATAAAACAATAATTAGAATGTGAGACAACGATTGAAATATAAGAATATAATTGAAACGTGAAACGATTATCAAAATATAAGACAATAAATAAGACAATAACAAGAGAATAATTAAAATACTTAAATATATATAAATATAAATTAAATAATTAAATTAATCGAATAACGATATTAATATTAATCGTTAACGCGAATTTGTCGATGGAACGATGTTTTCGTCGTACTTACGTCGATTACGGACGACACGAACGATTTTGATATTTACATAAAAATCCGCAGTCCAGTCATGATGCATCTAGAAGGAATATTGTAGAATAATCACTTTTGTATATACGCGATAAAAATAGTAACAACGACTGATGCGTGCACAAGCAGAATTTACATAGACCAATAGACATTCGGAAGAAAAAAAAAATGAACCGGCAGAAAATAACATATATTCCTAATGGTTTAGACTAAGTGCGTTCATTCCAGATAATGACGCAATAAATGCTGGCTACTATTAACATTTACGAATGGTGTTTTGCTGTTTTCTTGTAACACGTTGGTGCTAAACGCTCTCGGTTCCTGCGACGATCGTCGATGTTTAAATCTTCGTTTGATCGCCGAGATTCTAACGTTCTTCTTTATTATCTTTCGGTGGTTAGATTATATGAATTTCGAAATTAACATGTTATTGTTATATTATAATAATTTATATAATAATCAATATTATAATATATAGTAATTAATATAATAAATATTATATTATAGTAGTTTATTTAATAAATATATTATAATAGTTTATATAATAAATATTATATTATAATAGTTCATATAATAAATATTATATTATAATAGTTCATATAATAAATATTATAATATATAATCATTAATATAATAAATATCATAATATAACAGTTTATTTATAATAATTGTATATATAAATTATTAAATAATAACTGTTAAATACGTCCATCATACTGCAATTAAGTTATCGATGTAGTGATAAGTAATGAAATTGCAGATTAAATTTGTGACCAACGATATTGAAAATGATAGCAACAACTATTTACTGTATTTAACAAGAACAGAGCAAATAGTTTAACCATTATAAAGCATGATGTACAAGATGGCAGTGGCCAAAGGTGTGTTGCCTATTTGCAGGCGCTATAACGTGTAACACAGAACGATGCATAAAATAATTGATATTAATTCATATTAAAGGGATGAAACCTGCAGAAGAGTTAAATTTATTAGTAAAAACGTGAATATGATCTACGAAAAAATTAACTTGATTTACAAAAAGAAGGATACGATCTATGAAAAGATTTATTTTCAGGGCAGAAAGATGAACGTGACCACAAAGGGGTTAATTTGAAGTGCAAAAAGATGCGAACGATTTGCAAAATAATTAATTTCACATTCAACGCTTGTGGCATTTGAAACGTTGCTCGCGCTTCGTTTATAATTAACAATGTCGAGGCGCGTGGAGAATTATTATTCGGAACACGCGGAAGCGGCCATTGTGTTAGAGAAAGTTTTTCATTAACTTTGCGTAATACGATCGTAGTTAAATAATCTAATAAAGCAAGCGATAATTTCTGTCGAATGACTTTAAAAAAAGAAAAGAGTTAACAACTTCGTAGCTTTATGTGGTCGCGTTGCCAATTGTTCCATCTGTTAACAGCCGCTTTTACCACCGGGAATGGAAGAAGAAAAAGGACTCTAGCCGTCGGTTGTATATCATTGCGCGCAATATCCAAAGTTGCCGCAAGATCCCTTTCAATTTCTCATCCGAGTTCTCTAACATTTCTGCGTAATGTCTTTCACAAGATTGTCATTAAACCGGCGCGATATTCCTCCGGTAAAAGATACTGCGAGATTACCGCCGCCCGTCCCGACAAATAATAGCAAGATTATTGCTTTGATTTCGAGTAACACCGTATTTTGTAACGCGAATTTACCGGGCGTTCAAACTGCGTTCGCGTGGCACGTTCGAAATGCAATTTTCAGACGGAGTTGAGCTAATTCAATTATATTGTTATTCAATTGCATCGTATTTCAGTTACATTGTGATTCAATTGCTTCGTATTTCAATTATGTTATAATTCACAATTGCATCGTATTTCAATTACATTGTAATTCAATTATATCGTAATTCAATTGCATCGTATATCAATCACACTGTAATTCAATTGCATCGTACTTGAGTTACATTGTAATTAATTCAATTGCATCGTACTTGAGTTATATTGTAATTCAATTGCATTGTATTTCAATTACGTTGTAATTCAATTACATGGTATATCAATTACACTGTAATTCAATTGCATTGTACTTGAGTTACATTGTAATTCAATTGCATTGTATTTCAATTACATTGCACTTCAATTACATCATACTTCAATTATATTCTAATTCAATCAAATAACCCAAATCTTTCAATTACTTCAATTACCACTTATTTTTATCCCGAGCACAATTAAAGTACTACGAAATCGTGCACCTTATTATCTTCCGTTACGAAATAATGTTTCAGTTCACAAATTCGTTTAGTTCACAGTTAAGTATGATTATAATTCATGCTCTTCTTCTATTACAATGCCCAAAATCTAGAAATATAATTAAAATTAATAACTGACCTGATCGAACAGCATGAAGCAATTTTCAGCTGTTATTTGCCAAGAAATTAGAAAATGATGTGCGTCATTTTACCCGAGCGAATGAACATCGCCCATCTCTTTTCCAGCAGAGTCATTCAAGGACACTAAGCTTCTCCTGTAGAATGACTTCCAGCTTAACACGTGCCATGGTATGGTCAGCTGCATCGAGGATTACAGGCTGTCACGACGAATCCGTGTTCGCATTTGTGTAACTAATTCTATAAAATTAACCGAACTATCGGTTACAAAGAATACGTGGCCATAATCGGGTATCTAATACGCGTTCGTTATTTTATATTACGAAAAATTTTCATTTTGACTGTATCTTCGA